GCCTGATAATTGTGAAACTGTGCGACTGTTGTGCCTTAGTAAAAAAACCGAGTAATTGGGTTCCCTACGGGGTGGCATCTGATCACTGAGAAAGTTCAACATTATTGAACACATGATAACATTTTGACGGATTACTAAGGCATGCAGATCTCTTGACGAGTAGCCAAAAATGGCCGATAAATACTGATGTGAAACCTGAGGAACTCTAGAGTCATAACGAAAGATACTAAAGTCTAGAGTCATATCTGAGTGTACTGATTTCTAAAGTCAGGTCTGAATCTACTGAATTCTAGAGTTATATCTGAACTCTAAAGTCTGAATCTAAATCGAGCATCTTAACTAAGTCTGATTACTGATTTCTGAGCATAGACAAAGTAATATGTTTATAACTGAAAAACTGAATCAGCACTTACCTGGAGTCGGCAAGGCGTGAGCGTGAAGGTTCAGGTTTTTCTGAAAATTACTGACTGAAAACTTTTCAGAGACGCAGAAACGTGCTCTGATACCAATTGTAACACCCCGACTTTTTCCTACTATCAGAGTACGCTATTTTTCGCAAATTTTCTGAATAAACATAAAACATTAATTTTTGCGAAAACTGATTCGGGATGCTACCGTGAAAAACTTAATTTTTCTGAAAACCGTTAAAAATTTTTAAACTGATTAATAAAACGGTTTAAACGTCTTATCCGACTAACATCGGAACAAAAACTGATAATAAGTACTTAAAGTATTAGCGGAAATCCAGCGTGGCAAAAACATATATACATATAAACACAAATGTCCTGAACCGCCCGCCCGCTCACTCCTCGTCTCCGACCCTACGACCTGAAAAACATGAAAAATGTGGGGCGTGAGCACTAAAACACTTGTGCTCAGCAGAAACTCATACTAATGTAAAACATTGTAAATAATAACAATATCATGAACTAAGCATATATAACTGAACTGAAACTGAAACTGATATCTGATACCGGTCTGATCTCGTGACATAAGTCACGTAACTGATAACTGAAATCTGTCGGCACAAACTAATACCGTAATCTCCCAGCACAAACTAATACCGGACCATGTGCACACTCTAGTGGTTAGATTAGGCCACTAGAACTCAGAATAGACCGACGACCATTCCGAGCGGATACTGAATATACATACCTCGAACATGGTAGCGTAATTATAAACAATGTAGTACTTAGTCTGAGTCCCCACCTGAACTGCTGAAACTGAAACTGAATGGCAGTGCTGATGCCTGATCAAACTGAAAATAATATAAACAATTACTATTGACTATGCTCAGACTGATAAATTAACTGTTTAATTATGTTAAGATGCTCTACTGAATCTTACATGATATTCGGACTTATTCGGTATAACTGAAACCGGCTAAGTACGGAACTGAACTGATATTTATTAACTGAACTGAACTTGACCCGGAAATTTGACTGAAAATAACACTGAAACTGAAAACCGGGA